TGTTAAAAATATTTACAATTTTATTTATTAGAAAAATAATGTACTATGTTGCCAAATAAATAAAAGTAAAAAGGTAGATTAATGGCAATTAGCACACGTAGGGGTGCATGGCACGTTGCCGTTTGCTCTACATTTACAACCGCCACTTGTATCACCTTTACCCTAATAAAAAAGTCAAATTTAATTAACAAATTTTAACTACAAAGACGAGAGTATAATAAATAACGAGCTGGGAGTATAATATATAAACAACAAACACTTTTATTTTTATAGTCGATAACTTGTATTTAACATATGTATAAGTATCTTTGTACTTAACATATATCTAACATATATCATAGAAGTTACATAGAAGTTTGATTTTTAGTACAAAAAAGCAAACAGCAATTTAAGTAGCCAGAAATAGTGAATTTTTTCTGAGCAGCCAACAAATGTCCAAATTTACCTTAACCATGTCGTAAAAAAAAAAACAATAGGAAAAAAACAAACACCGGAGAAACAAATATTACAGCAGTGGTAGGGTATGTCGATTTAGGACTTTTTTAAAAAAAAAGGCTTTAATAAAATTTGGGGTATTAGTAAAAGTTGTGAAATTTTATGGAGAATCTGGTTTCATTTTTTAAATCAGAAAAATATTTACTAAGGTGATTTGTCTTTTTTTGGAAGTATAAACGGTTTTCTTTTATCTTTTTTAATAGAATGAAAAGGTTACCATTTTGCAAGATATTTAACTCGCTGTGAATGAAATTTATTTTTGTAGGAATTTTGCAATGCGGACTTAATTATTTTTAAAGTATTTGAAAATTTTTTTAAGTATTTTTAAATACTATTTAAGTATTTAAAAAAAAGTTAGCGGTTAATATATTATTTTTATTATTACTTTAGTTTTTTTATTAACTTTAAAAATATTGTTAAGTATACAAAATTGAGAACTCTTTACCAATTTATTTTAGAAATTAGTTCTTGAAAAAGTGCTGCAATACTTTGACCATGCAAGCTGTTACACAACTTTTGATAATCATCTGCATTGTACATTTGGCCAGTAAACCAATGGTCCGCCCATTTGTAAGAGATAAATCTAAAAATGTCGAGTAGTACGTCTCTTCTCTCTGGTAGAAAAATGAATGCAAAAAGAACTAGCATAGCTCCGAAATTCTATCTTGCATTATTTAATTTAGGTATTTTTTGAAACTTTATTAAATACTCTAGATTCTTCAAAAAAGCGGAGCACCCAAATTAAATGAAAGTTTATACCATCACACCAACTTGCTATTTTAGTAATCAGGTCTTTACCGTCCTTGAAATTCTCCCTGAGCTGTTTATAATTCTTTACAAGTTTAGTGATAAACTGACACTCGATATTGTGCAACATGTTGTTTCCTCCTTGCGTGAATACGCAAAAGACTCAGTCAAGAACATGATGTTGACAACCAATAAATTAACCAATAAAAACCAAATAAATTAACCAATAAAAACCAAATAAATCTTCCAGTTTAATATTAGTAAAACATCTTTGTAACTGATTGACAATAACATTCCTTATTCCAGTGTTTACATTTGTTGTGTCCACTATAATCATCTTTATATTTTTCCATAAGTTATATTATACCTTTAACAACAGTATTTGCTCTTCCGTCTGGTAGATCTAGTGCTTGTAACTTCTCTTTGTTTATTCTTCAACACTAACACTTGATATTCTTGGTGACTAATAAGTTTATCATCAAAGTGCAGTGACTAATAAGTTTATCATCAAAGTGCAGTGACTAATAAGTTTATCATCAAAGTGCAGTGACTAATAAGTTTATCATCAAAGTGCAGTGACTAATAAGTTTATCATCAAAGTGCAGTGACTAATAAGTTTATCATCAAAGTGCAGTGACTAATAAGTTTATCATCAAAGTGCAGTGACCAGCTTTCTAAATGTAGTGTTTTTTTTATTTCTTATTTAAGTTTAACAGCTTCTTTAATAGTTGATCTGAATATACCAGACTGTAAAAGTGTTTGAATGTCGATCCCATCTTGAGATAACTGTCAACAAACAACTGTTGCTTTGCTGGTTAAAAACTCTAGAAGATAATTCTAATTTGGTTGCAGCTTTGATAATTCTTGCTGGTTCTTGTGGACTGTTCTTCTGAATCTTCAGACTCTTGATATTCTGCCTAAGACTCAGACTCGGAAGTTGACATTGTTGCTGTTGTCGTTACTGTAGTTGAAGTAAACTTCAAGGACATTTTTCTTATTTTGGAAGGTTAGTTTTTAAACTAGCAACCTTCTCAGTTGTATACCCAACCTGTCTTTTGCTTTCAATCTGAAGATGATATAATCTTTTATCCTATTGTAGAGCTGTTCATCATCTTTTTTTGTGATGTCAAAAACTTTAATTGATAAATCGTAATTTATTTATTTTACACATTTATCGAGTGTCTTCAGCAAATGATCCAGCTTTGCCTGTATGACATACATTTGATTTGATAATTGTGGAAAATTTAATTTCGTTAGCCATAAATTTATTACTTCTTTTTCAATTTGCTTTATGCGTTCTTGTCTCCCTTTGACGGATTCTCCCAGGAACAGATAGAGACCAATAACTTGAATATTAAGTGGTATCTTGCTATTATATTTTAATGATTTTTCCAAGATTTGAATGGCATTTTCTTTACTACTCAACCTGTCTTTTTAATGTAAGATGTTGATCAAGATGAACTTTTACTAATTTCACACAAGAGGTTTTGTCTATATCTTTCAGACATATCGTAAAATCATCTGGAATTTCTTCCTTTCTAGGAGCTTATAAGATTATAAGTTGAGTTTTATTTGTATTTATATACAGATCAAGTTTACAGCAATATTTTTTCGTTTTTTTAAAAGTTACATTTTTTAAAATACATTTTTGAATATTTATAATTAATTTAGTTTAGTATTGTCAATAGAACAAAATCTTTTAAGTAAATTATTAGAAATCTAAATGAACTATTTAGATTTCTAATAACCTAAAAGATAATATTTCATTTACATAAAAGATATTATTCCATTCACAATTCTAAGAAAAGATGAACTAATTTATAACTATCTATTTTAGTATATTTACATGTAACGTTTTGATTTCATCCAAAGCTATTATTTCATAATTTACTACAAATTCGTTTCTTTCATTTGCTTCTAAAGCCATTAACAATACATAATTATCTGCCTTATTTAATTAAGTTTAGTTTAATTTTAGGCACAAATAATTATCTGTTTTATCTTTTACTATGTTACTCTTTTTAACATGGTAGACAAAATGATTGGATTTGAAAAAAACTCAGGCTCTAAAACTCAGTTTTATATTTCTGAGGCCTGCTGGCAGTCAGGTTTCCCAAACTCTGTATTAGCTCTCAGAGAAACTGATTCCATCAACAGCTGAAAAATATCAGAGTACTAACAGTGCCATGTTGCGCATGGATGGTGTCCCTGTTCATACTTTTGGTGTGCATTGTTGAGACCACATTTAGAGCCCTTTGTTATGGCTTAGGGTTTATTAATAGTAATGAGGCAATAGCTCGGATTATTAAATAGTGTACTGAGTACTATTTATGCTTTGAGTCAAGTTCTTTAAAAAATTTAAAATGACTAAAGTACCAAAAACTATAGAACACAAAAAACCATTGTCATCACTAAGTTTTCTAAACCTATCATTCATTAATATTCATGGCCTTCGAAATAACTTTTCTTCTGTTGAATCTTATCTTATGCTAAGTTCACCAGACCTACTTGCTCTTTGTGAGACTAATTTGAGTTCAACTGTCTCATTTTGTGATCTTAGTGTTAATTTATATAATTTGTAAAGACTCCAATAGTCACATGCTTGGCCTGGGCATTTACATTCGTAGGAATTCACCCATTTGTTGGGAAAATAGGGTTGAATCCACAGACTACTCTTTTAAGTGTTTACATTTAACACCACTTCACTCTATGACTCTTTTCTTTGTTCTATATCGCTCTCCTTCATCTCAAGACTGTATTCTTCTTGATGTTATTTCTGATCATATCAACCAAACCCTCTCTCTTTATCCATCAGCCAATATTGTGGTTGTTGATGACTTTAATACTCATAACACTGAATGACTTGGCTCTAGTGTCAGTGACTCAGACAGGCATTAAAGCCCACAACCTTTGCCTTTCTCAATCTCTAACTCAAATAGTCAACTTTCCAATTCATTTTCCAGTTTCTGATCCTAGTGCTCAGTTTATCCACAATCACCCTTAGGTGCTTCTGATCATGGTTTGATCTCTCTAAAACTATTATCTCATTCTTCTTCATCATCAGAATCCCCCTATCATTGTACATCTTACTTAATTACCTTAAAGCTGACTCTCTCCATGATTTTCTTCGTGATGGCCCTTGAGTAGAAACCTTTTGTCTTCCTGCTGATAAATGTGCTTCTTACATAACTTTGTGGATTCAGGCTGGCATGGAATCATTTATTCCCTCTCGATGATTCTAAGTCAAGCCTGACTCTTCTCCATGGTTTTCCTCACATTGTGCTGCTGCAATTTCTAATCAAAACCATTACTTACATATCTATCAGCAAAATAATTTTCCAGAAAACAGACCACTGCTTACTATTGCTAGAAACCATTGTAAAAAGGTATTGTCTAATGCCAAAGCTCGCTATTCTCAGGTTATAAAATCTGGTATTTCATCACAAAAACTCTTGTGACTTTTGAAGAACTTTTAACAGTATCAATAATAAGGGCAAATCTGTTATTCCACCTCTCTTGTATGGTTCAGACTTTGTTACCTCATCTAAAGACAAAGCTGAATTGTTTGCTAAGAACTTTTCATCAATATTATCTCTTGATTCCACTAGTTGCATTCTACCTAATATAGCCGACAAACAGGTTGATCCATTGCTTGACATTTGTATCACTCCAGTTCTGTATCAAAAGTGATGTTCTGCTTGGACTCTTCTACAGCTTGTGGTCCAGACAATGTACCTGTTGTAGTCTTGGAGAAGTGCTCTCCAGAGTATGCAGGAAAGTGGCATCTGTTACCTATTTTCGAAAATTCTGGAGAGCAATCTGACTCATCTAACTCATCAGACTCATCTTTAATTAACAAACAATCTCTCATCTTGAATCTAATAACTCACTTTCTGATAATCAAAATGGATTTCGATCTTCTGGTTCTACACCTTATTTACCAACAGTAATAACCGATATGTTTTATTGAGCATTAGATAGAGGTGGAGAGGAGTTAAGAAATTTAAGGAAAAAAAACAAACGGTAAAAATTAAATTTTTTTTTTACTGTACTACCACCTTAACCAAGATTAAAAATAGTCACCGAAAAATAGTTTAATCCATTTGAAAGAAAAATCATTAAAAGTAATCTTATTAAAATAACCAAAAACGACGTCTCAAAAAGTACTACATCTAAACAATTAAACTACCTTGGATACCTATTATTGGCCTAAAGTACTACATTTAAACAATTAAACTACCTTGGATACCTATTATTGGCCTAAAGTACTACATCTAAACAATTAAACTACCTTGGATACCTATTATTGGCCTAAAACTCTAAAAAGAATTTAGAAAACAAAACATCAGAGTTATATTTACTTCAGTTCCCAATTTAAATAGTATGTTATGCAACAACAAAACAAAACTGCCTCCGAACTGAAATCCCGGAGTTAACTTCTAAAGATTACATATATATTTATTAATATGACATTTCAGAAGGGACATTTTAGAAAAATAAAGAGAAAAATAAAGTGAGTTTAGTTGAATGCTTTGTTAAAATAAGATAAAGTTCAAACACAAATAAAAAAATATATAATTTCATCAACTCTCACAACTTTAAAACCTTTGATCTGGGATTATATAAAATACTATGATTATTAAAAAATAAATTGCATAAATTTACCCTAAATATCAAATCCATTGCAAAATTTCTTTATGGTGCTTGACACTTTCTTTCTCCTAATTTTATTCTTTATCTCTATAAATCTCAAATCCGCCCTTGTATGGAATACTGTTCAAATATCTGGGGCGGATCTTCTAATGATGCCCTTTCTCTTTAACACGAGGTGCAAAAATGCATTGTAAACATAGTTGGACCTGCTCTTGCAGCCAACCTTCAACCATCATTATCACATCGTTTTAACGTTGCTTCTCTTTCTCTTTCCTACAAATGCTATAATGGGCACTGCCCTAAAGAGCTAGCGTCTCTTGTGCCATCTACTAAAGTTCATTCTCATGTGACTCGTCATTCAATTTAGTCTCATTCTTTTTTTGTAACTGTTCCTAAGCGCTCAAAAAACTCTTATTCATCTTATTTTCCTGGAACATTGGAATTCGATTCCTTAATCTTGCTTTCCTGATTTTCTTTTAAGTTGCCTGTCTATTGTTATCTTGCTTTACAAACATTATATTTTCTCTTCTAGTAACTTCCAATTCTTATGTAGTTGGTTACAGCCTTGTTGGAAGCGAAGATGTGAAAAAAAAAAAAGATGAATTAGTTTAATTAGTATTAATTCACATTCATTCAAACACTAAACAGCTAAGTAAATAGATTTTTCTAAAGATTTTATATAATTCCAGAAAATTTGCAAATTGCAGTTACTCCTAAAATAAATAAATTAAAAAAGATTTGTGCATGTGGTCAAATATAGATAACTTAGAAATAGAGCTGATAGAATTTCAAATAAATTTATATGAAAACAAAAATTTGAAGATTTAATATAAGATTGCAAACAAGTGGCTGTTAAATAAATGGTGTTAAAATGGTGTTAAAATCAAGAAGTTTTTTGAGAATATTATACTACAAGAATGGAATTCTTTGCCAAACTTGTTTATTTGAAGAAATTTGCTTTTTTATTGCTTTTGTTTAGTTGTACTTATTACTGCGATTATTCTTGTCAATGAATTTTACCCATCAGAAACAGATATGCAAATATCATGATTGCAGCTTCTGATTGCAGCTTGTGTCAGATTGAGATCAACCAGTTATAAACCTGATACAACCATTTATCCTCTTTGAAACAACAGCAAATTAAATAAAACTATCATGATTATTAAAGTAATTATTATTAATTATGTTACTAAATTTAAAATTTCTTTTTCAATTGTAAAAAATAACTAAATAAACTAAAAGTTTAAATATTAAAATTAATAAAAATCTGATAATTGCCATCGTCATAGTAATCCTTGAAAAAACAACAACAACCATCAAACAAAAAAAGAAAAAACAAAATCACTTTAAACAAATCCCCCTCGAATCTTTTAAAAATAAGTTGCAATTATTAAAAACAAATGGTTTCAACTATTAAAAAATAATTTAAATTATAAAAAAAGATTACCTTAGGACCCCATCTGGGCCCCTTGGTTGCCCAACAGATCTCTGTCTTACACATTGTACATCTCAACCAATCACAGCCACTTTTTTTTTGCACCATTACTAAACAAGAGGGACACAACATTGCATCGCCACGTTTGATCATTTCCTAAAACATTATTAACAATAATGAAGAAAGTTATAAATGTTAAAACTTATACAAAGAAAAATAGAAAAACATTTAACTTAAAACAAAGTATAAAAAATTATTTTTGAGCAAGTTTTTAGTTCTGTTACAACTTACATCAAACATTTCTTGTGTTTTTTTTGCATTTTCATCATTTTGAGCTTTTATTTTTAACTCATCCTGGTACTCTTTGCATGTTTTGTCAAGATGAATGGCTCGACAAGTAAGACAGTTTTTACTTTCACATATTGGACAATCAAAGAAGTTCACTTCATCTTCATAAAAGCACCAACCCAGACAATTTGGTTTTCGACAGTGGAAACTATTTGAATTTGAATTTTCTGCTACTCTAAGACTGCGTTGTAAGTACTTATCATAATCAACTGGAAGCAAAATCTTAAGACAAAACAATGATAAAGTAATACTATGAAGTTTATAAAACATGTTTTTTTAAAGTGTTTTCTAAAAAAATTCTTCTAAACTTCTATGATTTTTATTTCTACTTTCTTCAGTTTTACCTATCATATCTTAATAACTATTGGTAAATAAACAAATGCAATTTTTGTTTGTATATAAATATATTACTTCTAAGATTTTTTAGTTAATTTTAAGAATTGTCTGTTACCTCAATAATTTCTTGATGTGTAATGATTGCAGGACATGCATATTTGTCATTGTATGGACAAGCTACTTCAGGACTATCACTTGTATTTATTGTATCTGCTAAACAAGCTCTACAATATTTTTTAAATATAAGATTAAAGAAAAAATAGCAGAAATAAACAGTAGTAGAATTGAATATTAAATTTTAAAAATTTGATATACAAATAACCTCCATATACAATTTAGAAGCTTTCATTCTTTGGTTTATTTGAAAATAAAATCTATCCTGAATATCAACACCTTTGAGAAATTTAGCATTCATTCTTATTCATTCAAATTTTATTTGCCTATTTTGTATAATGATATACTTTCATATTATTTGATTACTAAGTTTTATGATCCATTTTACTATCCTAAAAGCACATAAAGGAAATTTAATAAAGCCTCCCTCCTGAATCCTGGAAACCAGGCAACCATTTTGAAATCTGCATTGATTTTCTAAAATTGAATTGCAGAGCATCTGTATAATAACTTTGGAAAGTTTGAATATATGTAATATAATTAATATATGTATTTATAAATATATATATATTTATATATACATATACATATATATTTGATTAAATAGAACTTGTCTGCTTTGTCAGAGCTTGAAATTTTTGACATAATAAAATTGACAAGAGTATCAACAGATGAAAAAGAGTTATCTGATAATGAACAACCACAATGGTTAGAGACTTTTTGATATAATGTGGACTTACAGAAAATACATGTGGACAGAAAATTACATGTGGACAGAAAAACTTTTGATTAAATTAAAGTAGCAAAATAAAGTTTTTTTTATACTTTTGGATATTAAAAAAATTCATTAAGAAATTGTGTTTCACTGTGTAATATAAATATTTTAGTATAAACAATTAAAAAATAAATTTATTAACTAAATAGTTAAAATTAGTAGTTAAAATTTTATCTTTATTTTCACCCATGATAAACTTTATTTTCACCCATGATAAACTTTATTTTCACCCATGGTAAACTTTATTTTCACCCATGATAAACTTTATTTTCACCCATGATAACTCTATTTTCACCCATGATAAACTTTACTTTCACCCATGATAAACTTTATTTTCACCTATGATAAATTTTATTTTCACCCATGATAAACTCTATTTTCACCAATGATAAACTTTATTTTCACCAATGATAAACATTAAAAAATAAATTAAGAATCTAAGAAAAATGGTTAAACTAAGAATCTAAGAAAAATAAAATAAAAAAGAAAAATGGTTTTGTGTTTTTTGGTGCAAATAATAATTTGTAAAAATAAATATGTGCAGAATTTGTAGAATGGCAAATAACAAAGAGTTAAGTATTTGTTTGATAAATGAATATGATATATACAATACTACCTAATCTCTGACCATTAGCCTAAACTCTAACCAAAGCTCTGACCACTACAACAAAAAAACTGGGAGCGGCAAACATAATTTAAGGTCAAAACTCAGAATATCATATGGGAGCCACTTGTTGATCAAAAAATTGCGCTCATGTAGCCACTAAATATCAGGTTGGGATTAATGAAGCACAAAGACTCTTAACCATGTCTTAAGTACTTTCTAGAGTTTTTCCAAAACTTATCAAAAGACAAAAATTAAAAATAGAATTTTTGTTGACTCTCAGATAAAGCTGCAATTAAAAGATTTCTCTGGAGGAATTAAGGTCAATACAATGAGAAAATGATTGAAGACTAGAGGTTATGATGTAAGCTCAATTATAACTGCAAATTCAGTTATTCTGATAACCAGTTAGTCTTGAAATAAAAAAATGTGTTAGACTATGTTATTAGTAGAATAATAACCAGTTAGTCTTGAAATAAAGAAATAGGTTAGGATATGTTATCAGTAAAATAGGTCTGAAAAATTTGTAAAACAATTTTTACAATATTTGTTTAATTGCTGTGGCAGTTAATACAATTTTGCTAAAAATTAAAAAAAATACTGATAAATAGTTACTTAAATAAAATCATTTAAAAAAATTGATAATGTATCCTTTAATACAATTGGAAATAATATTAGATGGATGAATGAAGCATTATCAATTATTTAGTGATGGAGAAGCAAACTACTAATTTGGGTAGCATTTATACACCACGTTAGTATGTATACACCACGTTATAGAGCTCAAAGCTAAAAAAAATAGTAAAATTTCAAAGTTACAAAAGAACCTACAGAAAATACATTTAAAATGTTACATGATAACTGGGATGAATTATTTCCTAAAGAAATAAAATATGAGAATATGAACAAGTTTGATTAAAAAAGTACATTGGAATGTTTATTGAAAATAAGATCAAATTAAAGGTAAGATTAAAAGTTTTTGAGAACAAACTTTCAATAAGTTAATTTGTTAAAACTGCTATATTAATACAGTGCAAAACAAAAATAAATTAAAAACCACTATATTAAATAAATAATGAGCATGCTTTGTTGAACACATTATCTTGTTTAACCGGGTGGTCACAGTAGATGATGCACTGTAGTGAATATGATTTTAAAGGAGATCTTAAACAGTTAACAGATATGACGTGTGCAATTCTGTCAGGAAAGGAATACCAATGGAAATCATTAAAAAAAGTTCACTTTGAATAGTAATAAATTGTTGCTCCTGAATAATATAAAGTAGATGGGAAAAAATAAATTTGATTTTTTAAATGTTTTCTTTTGCTGCCAGTGAGTCTTAAATTACCATATTTGTGCATTTTTATGCCTTACATTATTATTTAATTACTTAGTAAATTGATTATAAAGTTTAAGTTTGAATGGTTTAAATTGTTGCTCGTGGGGGATATAAGTCTAATAAGAAAAAAATTCAAACTTTTTTTTGTCTTTATTTGTTGCTTATTTTACTTTATTTATATGCTTTTTTTTTGTCATCATTAAACTTAGTTTAGTAAATTAGTAGTAGTTTTTGTTCTACAATTATTAAATTTTATTTTAAATTGTGATAAATTGTTGCCATAAGATAATATAAATTGTAATAATTTGTTGATGTTGACATAAGAAAAATATATGTAATCAAATTTTTTTTGGCTTTTTTTTCTGCTGGGGGTTTGGGGGAGGGGGAGGGGGGCTTGAAATATTAATTTGATCAAAAGTTTTTAAATGAAAAAAAAAAACAATGACAGGTTTTATAAACTATTTTTCTAATGTTGCATTTTTTTGTAGTTTTTTTAATTTTTAATTTAAATCTATTTCTAGAATTATGCTTTGCAAATTGAATTAAACTAAGTTTATATTAGGAAAAAAAAATAATTTAATTTCTGTGGCTAACTCTGGCTGTTACAAGACTTGCCCTGTTTATGGCATGGAATTAGAACTTACTTTTTGCATATTTCTAACTGTTAAAGTTCATGCAGTACTATTTTTTTGTTAAATTGCAACTTCGCAGGACTACCAAGTCAAGCTTAACAGTTTCTATGAATGTTATCAACATTTAGATAAAATCTGGCATTCCAACTGTTACAATACAAAGAGTGCAGCTGAAAGTAGAATTTTCACGCAATAACTTGAGAATGATTTTTAAAAGAAAAAGTCAAAGTTTAGTATTTTTGACATTGCAGCATGTCATTATCATATTTTAAGTTATTACACATACCCAAAAAAATCAAAGGTGCCAGTACTTGAGCATGAATTTTTAATGAATTAAAGAAATGAAGATATATGGTTATTAGTCCTTTAGATAAATAAAGTACCTTTATATTAATCATAAAATTTGAGAGAAGTGCAAAGTGACAGAAATACTATAGTTTTTTTTTCTAGCAAAAGCAGCCTGGTAGCATTAACTAGTATCACTTCTGATATAGATGCAGAAATTAACTCTGGTGATGAGGAGTTTATAAGTGACTCAGAGCAATATCAACGATGATCATTAGTTAGATTTCTATTAATTAGATTGTGAATATAGCAGAAATATAATAAAGTTTCCAAACATTGTCAGAGAATGTGACAGATATGGTGTATCTGTTGCTACTGGAGCTGCAACTGCTACTGCCACATATTTAGAATACGAATTATAAAAAAACATGAAAAAAAATTATAAATCAAATAAAGTTAAGAGGCTAAAGACAATTGCTCAGAACTAAATTAACACGCAAAACAAATTTAGTTATGTGTTTAGTAGGCTCAAAATCAATTTTCTTTGACTGGCAAAAAACTCTTGCATAAGCGACAAATTAAAGACATAATCACCTAGGAACAAATCATATTAATAGAATAAACTCATTCCATTTTTCTTGGTCATGTTTCTCCATCAGGTGCATCATTGGAAAATATCAAGAATACGATTATAGATATTTTTGACAAAAATAAAATATCACTTGATAATGAGTCACAATTTGCCAAATGTCAGACAGAATAACTTACATAACGTTCAACATAAGATTGTGACAAAAAATATTAGCAAAGATTAACAGTATCTTTAAAACATGTGCAAGGCAATAGAAATAAGTGAGGTGAAAGAAAGCCTAGCAAAAAAAAGCCTGGCTCATTGGTTCATTCTCGATGGCTGACAACAGCAAATTGAATCCTTTGTTTGTATTTTGCAACCACAGATCTGTCTACCGAACTTGTAATACTTAATTATTACATTCTTCAAGTTTATGCACCGAAGTAGTTCTTTATAAAACTGGAGCATGTTACATGGCTGCAAAATACTTTTGGCCTATAATTCTCTTAACTTATACTTGATAAATGGTCCCCTAAATAATATTTTGATATCAATATTGATTGATGAACAAAAAGAAATAAAAGAATTAGCAGCTGGAGGAATTAAATTTGCACTTTGCACAGTTCTATAGTTCTACAAATTCTATAGAAGTAAAAAAATTTTAAATTCCTCTTCTAAACTTTGATGCAGTTGATTATCATAATTTTGTAAATTAGAAGGAAATATTGCAATAAAAAATGTGCAAAAATTGACTTTAGATGATTTTCTGTGTCACTATTAATGTATAGAAATATATCTTAAATTGGTTAAAGAAGCTGCTATATTTGGAGAAATGAGAAGAAACAGATATTAGAGAAAAACTTTAATCTAAAAAGTATATTCAACACTTCGCATCAAAAACTTTAAATGCTAACATCTTCAATAGAGTTTAATTAAATAAATATTTGAAAAATATTTATTTAATTAAACTTCTTTTTATGGATTTATTTCTATTTGTTAAAAATATATTTATTTTTAACAAATAGAAATAAAAAACAAATAGGACTGTTAGTTTTTTGTTGTGACAGAAAAAAAAACACTAAAAACAAACAGTTCTATTTGCTTCAAAAAATAATAGAAACAGGTAGGAAAAACTGATAAACTCCATTATTTTATCAGAGAATCTTTTTTATTAAGTACACTAAAAAGTACATATACAACGTCATTTATAAAACTTTATACATAAGAAATGATCTAATTATTCTAAAGTTAACCTAATTGTGAGATTTTCATTAAATTTTGTGTTTTGAGACTATATTTTTAGTTTTTACTTTAAGAAAAGTTAAAAGGTATGACCAGAAAACAAAAAAGTTACTGCATTTTGTTATACAGCAGATATTTTTACATAACATTTATTGTAATATCAATAATGGTTCAATTTCTTAAGTGGATTTGTCATCGGATTTCATTTTAAAAAAACTGTTGTGACCCATTATGCAAGATATCTTGCTAAATCAATTTATAATCTTGTACTTTGCCTTCTTAATTGACAGTTTGATTTAAAACTTTTAATGACATGTCACATATTATTTTGCTAAGTTTATTTTTTAAACTTTTCAGTTTTTAAAAGCTTGTTTTGCATGTGTATTTTTGCATGGCTCCAGATATTTATTTACAAGCAATCAGAGATATGGAAAATTACAAAAAAAAAAAAAAAAAAAGACCTGATATTGCTTAAGCATTTATTAATGTCATGAAATGACTTATATGATACCATGATCAGAGAACAGTTATTTTCTTCATAGCTGCCGAGAAACTATTGCCTAAGTTAGAGAAAGTTTTGCTAAAAAAGCTGCTTATATTGGTCAAAATTTCCAGGGCAATAAAAAAATCCAAATACTTATAATATGTCATCATTATTAGAAGACATAAATTAGATTTTGAGAGCCTTGGATTTACAAAGAATTATTTTGAGTGTTAGTTGTAAAAAATGAGGAAAATATAATCAGAGTGGCCACTCAAATTTGAAAATGAATTTTCCATGACTTTCAATGAAAATTTAGGAAATCCATGACTTTTTCCATGACCAAATAAAATTCCATGACATTTTCATGATTTCCATGACCAGTGGCCACCCTGATAATTCTTACAGAAGATTGAAAGATTTATAGTTTATAAGTATTTGGATTTTTGATCATTTACTACATGATCATTAACAATATTTAGTTTATAAATTATAAAATTTTTTAAAAATTAATGTTTAATACCTGTTTAAATTTTAAAATCTAATATACTTTTTTGTTCTTTCAATAATATCCGTTTATAACTTATCAGTTTATAGTTCAGTTTAAAATATCAGTTTATAAATTATAAACTACATGTAGCTATTGATCTAGCCGAAAGAAGCAGAACATAAAGCAAGACATCCATTTAGTACCAAAACAAAATTGATTTTTTGAAACAACATTTTTACTCATCATGTTATATAAGGATTGAGTATATTTTTGACTCTTTATTTGTGGTTTGAATATTGTGAATTATTTAAACAAACTAACAATTGTATTTTCTAACAAAATTAACAACAATTACGTACAAGCTTAAACTTAATACAACTGTCATAATGGTGCATTTATTATTATTATTTTTTTAAATACTACCATGGTTCTTTTTTATGCTTAAAAACTTTTTATCTTTAATACTTTTCTTGAACACTATTTTTTTCTTGAAACAATTTTATTTGGAATCCATCTTAATTATTTTCTGACACAAACATTTTTATTTTCATCCTCTTACCCTTTAAATCTTGTTTTTACTTTCTAATGATTTTAATTTATAATTTATAATAATAAATTTATAAAGAATTATTTATAATTGGTAATTTATAAACAACTAAATAGTAAATTATTTTTTTTAAATATTTTTTTTTTTTTTTAAATGAATTATAAAACTTTATAAGTTGTTTTTTAACACAATTCTCAAAATGTTTTTTTAAAACTCTTTGAATACCAATGTGGCCATGAAAATTAACTAAAATAATACACCATATACTTATTTCATAGAAGTATTAAATTCACAATGAAAATCATACTGCAAATAAAAAGTTTCAGTATGATTTACAATATTCACAGAATTTTGAAAACATAAATGTTTTAATAATAAGTTTGCTTATAATTAAAACATTTATGTCAGAATATTTTAAGCATTATTTTCAAAATTAACATTTGATAATTGCTGATAAAATAAACATTTAAAAAAAATCTTCCTCATTATTTTGAAAAAAGTTTTGTCAAAAAGTTTCCTTATACGTGTATTCTTCTATTAAGAAACTTTGTATTAAAAAGTGTAAATAAAATATAAAAAAAGATAAAAATAAAGATAAAAACTTAGGAATCTTACTCGCAAAATTCATGAAGACATTCTCGAAGTACAACCCCATTCCCTTGCTCAACATCATTGAAACAAATTGGACATTCAAACATATTTTCATTTCGTAATAACTTTAGTTGCATTAAATTCCACATTACTTGGTAATTATTTGTAGCTTGTAAAATTTCATCATTTTTACGTACTTCTTCTGACTAAAAATATGTTTCAACTGAATTTTATAACAAAATTTTTTTACCAAAACTTTTAAAAATAGTTGTAAAAAAAAACTTTTAAAAATTGTTTTAATTCAAAAATAAAAGTAGGTTAAGCAAAACTTGACAAAATTTTTAAATTGTTTTTTTGTACCAACAACAAATATTTTTACCTGCAGAGTGAGTTGTTCAGCTAAACATTCATTCATTAATCTATGGGCTTCATCAGGATGCAACACAAAGTTTTCAGGAACAACATAATTTTCAGGACGATCAGCTGAACAAATCATACACCCAGGATATGTTGGAGTATTAAGATATGTGCACTGAGGACATTCCCATCCTACTATTCAGTTAATTCAGCAACTTATATAACTTACATATAATATATAACTTATATATATAACTTTAGAAGTAATGAAAATCATTAAAAAAAAACAAAAACTCACAGATTTAAACAGCAAAAACTATACCTATGACACAATCATTTTGCAAGTCTTTATTCATATTATCTAAATGAAAAAGTAAAATTTCATTAATTGCAGTCACACACACACAGATATATATATATATATATATATATATATATATATATATATATATATATATATATATATATATATATATATATATATATATATATATATATATATGTATATATATATATATATATATATATATATATATATATATATATATATATATGTATATATATATATATATATATATATATATATATATATATATATATGTATATATATACTTGTCTAAACACACATATAATACACATATAATGTTTGAATTTTTAAATACAGATACTGAACACTATACCAATAACGGAACACCGATACAGTAATGATAATGAACAAGAAGAATTAAATGCTGAAGGATACTTTGTCTGTTTGGAAAAATTATATTAATGTAAAATTGATTTTCAAGATACCATGAAAGATTTAAAACTTAAACAACAGCGTAAGTGCAGTTTAAGTTATCATTTGTAAGTGCAAATTGACTTTGCAAAACAAAATCTTGTGAATGGACTGATTTTAAGGGAGTTTGTGAAGAGTTTTCAATTGATTGATCATAATAAACAAACATGGATGCTGTATAAAAAACCTAGTTAATGAGGATTATTCTTACTAAAACTGGAGATCACACACGAAAAAGACTGACTAAAAAACCACAAACCCAATTTGATTAAAAAAACACTATTACTACTTCTTCATACATAAATGGGACTACCTGGTTTTTAAAGTTGTTTCTGTATTGGTGTCATATAGATTATAGACTTTGGGTTGGAAAAACAGGACCACTTAGTGAATCAATACATAATTCAAGAGACAGGGTTATTACTAAAATAAAAGAACACACTGGATTGCAATTAGATATGTGCAACTCTGGTGAGAAAGAGGGGACATCTACAACTTGGCTACAAGACCTTATATTTTCTTCTAAAAAATTTCTACCATAAAAGATCTATGTACTTCATGTACAAAGACAGCATATTACTATTACATTCAAACAGTGTAATATTTTGTATAACTTCTTGTCAATGTAAGATTAAACATGACAAATTTTGAGAGTTACAAGGCTACTCCTAATATTATTACAAAAAAGAGAATGTTTTACAAAATTGTTTGAACAAAATCTTTTTAATTAAAACAAAATAATAAACCAAGAAAAACTAATTTTGTCTTTTTATTTAAGTCAAAACTTTAAGCCTTTAAAATATTTATTGCTTTATTATTAATATAAAATTATTAATATAAAAAAAATATTTTTGTTTGACGCAATCGTCAGACTATTTTATTCATACTTTTAATGGAAATTTTGCAAAAATTAGAAAATAAGGTAACTAAACAAATTGTTTAGTAATTTATGAAGAAAAAAAAAGAACTTCTAGATATCTTATCAAAACTTTCCAATGATATCATATACTAAAACCTTTTGGAAATAAAAGCACCTGAATAAATTTTAAAGTCTGTAGATTGCATCAAAAAAAGCATGTACATTTTAAAAACTTAAAATTCTGACTAAAATGGAGAATGCTTCAACTATAATTAAAAAGTTTTTCTTGATACGTGAAACAATGATACGTATATTTACGTATAAATATACGTTATTTTGTTTTAATCAAAAAAATTTCATTGAAACATTTTCTTTTAACATTCTCTTTATATTGAACACAACTTGTTTAGGCACTTAGCAATCCTTTTAATGATGGTTTTTTAGTTGTGGCCTTAACAATTTTTTAGAGAAAGGCTTAAAAACAAGCAATAAAGATATAGGAAACTATTTAAAGCTAAGCCATGAGACCTAGAACACCTTACAGATGTCAGGCCATGTTTTAAAGTGTTACACAGTTTGCAATTTACATTATTTTATGCCTAAAGCAATTTTGGTTAAGTAACTTTATTATTTTTTAACACTTAATTTATTTAAATGTCTTTTAAAAATATGTCTTTAAGTCATTAAGATAAACAAAATAATTATAGCTTTAATTTACCAGTTATAACTTTGAATGACAATTATGTTTTTTATCTTTACAAATAAAATATACTAACATAAAATTCAAAACAAAGAAAAATTTAATTTCTATTCCAATTTTATTCAAAAATATTTTAATTATTCTTAAATTTAAATATATTTTAAAAACAAATTTAAAAATATTTTAAAAATAAATTTAAAAATATTTAAAAAACTAAATATTGTTTAATAATAAAATTTTACTTCTTTTAATAATAAAAATAATTAATAATGCAATTATTTTTTCATTTTCTTTTACCAAAAACTAAATACCTTGTAAACGTGTTCAAAGTGTACCTTAAACTTTTTTTTTTAACATATGTTAAACTTTTTAAAAAAAATGTAACAATATATATTTTTTAAAAATTGGTAATTAGAAACCTAAAATAATCGCTGGCAAAGTAATTAAATACAGATTTTTTTTTAAATAAATTTTATTTTTTATTTGTTACTCTCTTACCTTTTAATAATAAAAACTCATTATTACTTGCATAGCCTCAATTACAAATTTAAAAAATAATTAAAAAAATCAAACATTTTAATTCATTTATACGAATGCCAAAAAAAAAGAAGAAATTAATTAGTTTTAAATTGAATATTTAAAAAAAAAAAGTAATACTTAATTAAGTTTTTTAATATTAAAAAAAAATACCATAACATATTTACTTTAAGGAGTTAATTTTTCAAATAAACTTGTTTTGTAGTAATTTATTTATTTTTTATTATTTTTTTTTTATTATTACTATTACTTTGTTTAAAACACTTCGCACTTGTTACATAACATTACTGAAATGATTCATGCACTTGTTAGCATTACTGAAATGATTCATCCACTTGTTAGCATTACTGGAATGATTCATGTTACGATTGATAGTTCTTTTATTTGTGACATCTTTATCTTCAAAAAGCTTTTGATACAGTTGACCACAAGATTTTAATTGAAAAATTGTATTACTATGATATACAGCGTACCACTATTGATTGGTTTTCATCATATATTTAAAATCAGTTTGTACCAACTAATGGGTTTCAATCTACAAATAAAGTTATTAAGTATGGTCTCCTACAGGGTTCTATCCTAGGGCCTTCACTATTTTTAATATATATTAGCAATCTGACTCACTCTATAAATAATAAAAGTTCATAATTTCGCTGACAACACTAATATTCTATGCATAAATAAATCATTAGTGCAACTTTGTAAAAAAGATAATTTAAATCTCCATCATTTGGGACATATAGTAACATTAACCATATTTCTCTAGATTTCCATAAAACTGAATTATTATTACACATAAATATTACACTCAAAATACTGAAAATATTAATTTGCACATTTCCTTTTTTAACACTATCAAATATATCAAGCTCTCTATAAAACATCAATGTATTTCTCACTGGAACCAATTAATACAATTTCTATCATAGTTATAAATTTTACTATAATTATTTTTTTCCACAGTTTTATCATTAGCTAACATTTTTATTAAAGTTATCATTTTATAGTTAGTATATGTTTTTTTAAATTATATTACTATTATTTTTTAAATTATTATTAATAATAATATCATTATTTATTAATGCTTTATTTTCTCTTATTTTTATGTTAGTTTTCTCTTGTTTATTATTTATTTTAATGATTTTTTATTAACAACTTTTTTTTTTAATAGATGTCATTCCATTGACTAGTTTTACCTTATTTATGTGAGTTTATATTATTTGTGAGTTTATTATATATTATTGTAAATTTTTCATATTTTATAGTTAAATAAATAGACAAATATATATACATATATATATATATATATATATATATATATATATATATATATATATATATATATATATATATATATATATATATATATATATATATATATATATTGTGGCATTTAAAAAAGTTAATGTTCATAACAAATAAATAAAAAAAACTTTATGATGTCAAATTCACATTAGGCTAATGTGCAAAGCATTTTTTGTTTAAAACAAGGTCTCAGATGTTTTATCATTATAAGAGACCTGATCCTGGTGTCTCGAACAAAATAATTAATTCATATCCTAAAAAGTTATGCTAAGACTGTCATTCAAATGAGCATGCAAGCATATTTCATGAGCATATGTTTACAAAACCAATGAGTTATTTTGATAATATGTTTATCTTATTAGATAATACTTGATTAGTTATGAAGTCTTTTTTACTATTTTTATTTTTTACCTTTAAATTTAAATTTTGATCAAACTTTTTAACAACTTAATATTTTCATGGCATTTTTTTTTAAATCCAAATTTAATTAAGTGGAGTACTAAGCTATGAGCAAACAGCACAACCACTTTGAAAAGATGATGTAACTGAATGATGGGTCAAAACTTCTTTTTCAAGAAATTCTATAACAAAAATGTTGAGTAGAATGTAATAATTCATAAAATTGAAAAAATTAGTTTTATACATTAATAATTTCTTACTTTCAAAATTATTATTTATATCTGTTTGAATTGATTTATCATTTTGATTGCTATCTTCTTCTACTGGTGACAAATATAAAAAAGCTTCTGTTCCAGGCTCCAAGATTCCATAACTACACAGCAATTCATTATCTTGTGCAACTCTCTTTTGAATAATCCATTGTTGGCAAGAAATAGGAAGATGGTATTCTTTAAACATCTAAGAAGTAAAAACTTAAACAATTTACACTGATCAACACAATTCTTGTTTCCTTAACCCCTGTGTGGAAGTTTTTTTTCAAAATTTTTGCTAGATTTAATGTTGTTTTTTTTTAAAAAAAAAAAAAAAAAAAAAACAAGTTTTATTTCAAAATTTTTGGGTGGTATAAAAAATTAGGAAGCAAGGTAGTGCCATATATTATATACAAACCAACATCATAATCAGCACACTGATTGGGGCCGCCATATTCTTTTTATTTTTGAAAACAAATGAAAAAATATAACTTTTTAATTATATACCTATTAATACTTATAATACTATAACAGTTTTAACAAACATAAAAAACAACAAAATACCTTTACTAACATATAAAAAACAACAAAATACCTTAATTTTACTTTTATTTTCTTTATATATACATTTGTTATTCAAACTATAATATATAAAGTAAAAAAAACCTAAAAAAACAACAAATACAAAAACTTTCAATGCAATGTAAATTTTGGTTTCGCTATCAACTAAACAACGTTAAGCATACTTTTACTAGTACCACAATGGCACAAACAAAAAGGATTTTTTTTACACACAATGACCACAAAAAAAGGTTTTTTTATACACACAATGACCACACACAAAAAGTTTTTTTTTACTGTTAATGCGTATTTCAATGGCCCTGACTACCAAAAAAAAAAACTCTGAGAGATTGCTAACAGCTTTTTTTTTTTGAACTATGAAGTTTTGTAATTTTGACTAAACAACAAAAGAAAATTAAACACTCAAAACTTCAACACAATTATCTATTTATAGGATTTCCTGGAATGAACAACTTTAAATAACTTTCTTGTTGCATTTCATTGTACATATTCATCTTTAAATATCAATTCTTGTTACAAACTCCATTGTACAAATATCTTTAAATAACAATTCTTGTTGCAAACTCCATTGTAAAAATATCTGTAAAAAAATCTTGATCTTTAAAATCTTGAAACTCAAAATTTTGCAATTTGCAAATATGGTTGTGGTGTAGTGGTAGAGCGCTCGCCTCATAAGGGAGAAATTCAGAGTTTAATCCCTACTACGTCCCTGGAAGTACCGCACTCAATTTGTTTCTTCACACAGCGGCCTTTTTTGTCAAGGTTCGTGTTTCTGGGTTATAGAGTTGAAAGAGGGTTGAAACCACAACTAAAGTAGCCTCCTCAGCTGTAGTAGCTTCCATGGCCTTAGGGAGTTGAATTCAAAATAAATTGAAAAAAAATCTGTTTAAATGCAAGTGCAAATAGTGGATTTTTATGCTCATATTGCACCCTACCTATAGCTCTAGTTTGCACCCTCTAGCTCTAGCTGTCATTATGTTGCACCCTAGCTCAAACTGACATTATGACGAGTTTAATATAAAGTGGCAGAAGTATGACTCATATAAAACATTTTTTTGTATTAACTTTCAGCTCTTCCAGCACTGTCCCAGAGACAGATAAAACATAGGAACTTTGTGTACCCTCTTTTGTTGACCAAAAAAAAAGTTTTTTCAAATCAAAAAATTACCTAGTTGTACTCTTGATATTTGTTTCAATATCATTGGAAACATTTGTGTACTCTTCTTTTAAAGTTGTTGAATGTGCAATAGGTGTGGATTCATAGTTGTTACTAGTATTTAATTTTGTGATGCAACATTTTTTTAAAATTTTCAAATAGAGTTGTTCATAAAGTGTTTACGCTCATAGGGGAGGGGGTTGGGTTTCGAATAGCTTACGAAAGCGTATGGGGAGGTTCAATTTAAAAGTACGTACTTCGTTTTTATAATTTATCACAACTAATATATACTTGTTAATAACTAAATGTTTTTGAATAAATAACAACTTTAAGAAAAAAAACAACCATACCATATCACTGTTGTTCATGATTCACCAACTAAGCAATAGTAAAGTTAAAATTCTGACAAAAGATCCTAGTTTGCCAACATAAAAAAATGTATGGTATAGGGGAGTCAAAGGTATAGTCTCCCTCTGTGCACACACATGTTATTTCTTATATATTGGCTCTGAGTAAGGTGGAATTGTATTTCAGGCAACTTTTTTTTTGAGTTCACAAAAAACAGGTTAACACAGTGCCATGCCTAATGGGTCAGAGGCTTCTCAAAAAAACATGTCATTAGGCCTCAAAATTCTCAAAATTTTACTGCTAGATATTGCTAAAATAAAAAGTTCCTTAAATTTGAAAATGGGCTTCTAATATTGCTGGACCCCATCCCCCCCCCCCATATATTGGGAGTGGATAGCCTGGCCCCGGCACTGGGTTTTAGGCTTTGATTTCAATATTACTGATCTTGCGTAAGACTCATTTTTCAAAGACTTACTAAAAAGAGGTGCCTGAAAAAAATATTTAAACCTCTCGGCCAAACAAACTTACTTAGTTTGGTGTAAATTAACTTTATTAAAATAAATATTTGTTATAATAATATACATATACAAATATATTTATACAGAGTAGAGCTGTGGCTAAGCTCCCCACAATTAGGTTTTTTTTTAGAAATACCAAGTGGAAAAATTTTGGGGACCTAATGGCATGTTTTTTTCGGAGGAGGAGAGGGGCTCTAACCTACTAGCCACAGCACTGATACAGTCTTCTCGGTTTATAATTTACTGCCAACGCACAAAAAAGAGCTGGGCAGACAGTAATTATTTATTTGGCGTTCGCGATTTTGCGATTTTAAAAAATATTTGTTTTTTTGTACCTCTTAAATGAAAATTGGATTAAGTTGCAATTTAAAAACACGCTTGAAAAATCGCCTAAAAAAGCGCAAAACTGCAAGAGCGCATAAGTGCTCGTCAAACAGAAAAGACTGCTGATACAGAAGCAATTTTGGGGAGGAGGGGAGATGTAATCACGACTTAAAAGTATGCATGGCAACAGGAGGAAGGGGGTGGTTCAAATTTCAAACTTTTTGGCGTACATACTTTATGAACGACCCCAATCTAGAAAAACTATTGATTAAAAGAGCGCTTAGCCTAAATCATAAACCCTCAGCTGATGTATGTACACTTGACTGAGGCTATTCCAATTTAACTTAAATTGGATTGACTTTTTAAATTGACTTTTAAATTTTAGTAGATTAATGTATACTTCACTGCGTTTACAGCGTAAGTAGATTAATGTATACTTTGCTGTGTTTACAGCTTTATCAGTTAATGATATAGCCTATATTGACTTTTTTGGTTCAAAATATTCCTTAGGTGTACCAAAGTCATCTCACAAAGTATGGAACCAAAATTGATTCAACTTTTGCAACTATGAGTAAAATTCAAATATCTAATGTCCTAATAAAAATAATTAAGAGACATCAAAGCTGCAAAACGAAATTTAAATCTATTTTTTGTTAAAAAAAAATCTTTTTTGGTTTAAAATACTTAATACATATATTAAATAACTGAAAACAAGTAGATTTAATTAAAAAAAAAATCAAAAGCAGTGATTAAATTTAAAATTTTAAATATTTTTTCTCAGAACAGCCAAAACGAACTTAAGATGGTCTTGTTTTGCAGTGACAATTTAATTTGTAGAATTTTGTCATTATTTGTATAGTTTTAAGATTATCTTGAGATTATATTGAAAAATTAGAAAAAAAAAATCAAAAATTGTATTGATTGTCTGTAGTAGTAAGTTATTTGACTCAAGATTTTAGAAATTTGTTGATCCAAGAATCAAAAACCTTGCTAATAACAAATAAAAGACTAACATAACAATAGTTGAAGGGGTCAGTGTGTTCTCAGTTTTTAAAAAATGGAACTATTCATTTTTTAAAAACTGACCATTTTCCAGCACGTATGAAAAAATTATTTTATGTTTAATTTGAACCATAGAGTAAAATTTACTTCTAAACAATGTTTTTTCCTGCTACTTACATCGTTTTTATATCACAACTTATATCATTGTTATATCACCAAAAAAAAAATTTAATGACTCATTTTAATGAGATACGAGATTTAGTAAACTGAGAATAATGGAGCTTAGCATCAGATAGCACCTTTTTATGTTGGTTTCTTACAATAATATATAGGCAATTATTCTCAAGAGAGATGTTCTATTAAAAAGATGAAAAAAATGATTACAATTAGATATAGCAGCTGCACAAGAAGATGAAAATAGAGTAGAATAAGGGTTGACGAGAAGAAGTACAAGCTTCAATACGAGGAGATTCAGGAGATTACCTAGAAGGTGCATTTATCAGCGAAGAGAAAAAAGACATCAGCCCAAGGACTATCTTAAAGAAAACCACAAAAAGAATTACATTAAGCTTTAGGGTAGTAGTAAGTAGTGTGGTGATATTTTTTTTGAATAAGACTTTCTAAAAAATAGTAGCTGGATGCAGTTAACATCTGCCCAAGAGGAGTATTTTTATCAAGACACTATCTCTAACCTTTACTAACCAAGATCTCCAAAGCATGGGAATTTTAGCTGGATTCAATTAACATCTGCCCAAGTTTAGTATTTTATTGAGACACATTCTTTAGCCTTTACTAAATGAAGAGCCTCAAGCCAGGGAAAATTCAAGTCAGAGTTTATTTCTCATAGCCTTCACCAAGAAAAGCAAATCCAACAAGGCAGCAGGAAATGGGGCAGGTAGTACTGGGTTGCATGTTATGAGTAGCAGGGTGATTGTGATGATCCTGAACCTGACCAGAAATGAAGTACTTACAAGAAGCTACTTATGTAACTTATTAAAACATTAAACAAGATAATTTGGGAAATACATAAGGAGAAAACCTGTTTAATAAAAACGCTTTTGATTATTTTTATTCATACTGTTATACTTATAATCATACTATATCATACTGATATAATATGATTGATTTATTGATATATATTAATAACATACCAACTAACTTCCCCTCTTTCTATCCTTCCCTTAACCCAAAGGACCCCATCACCATTACTACTGCCTGCTTTCTACTGCTAATTCTTCTTATATAAAAACTCTATACACTTAAAGTGATTTTATTTTA